ACCCCCCTAAACTTATTTTAAATGGAATTATTTGCACCCTAAAACTAGACAACCAAACTCTTGCCAGATGGTAAGCTACACGCGCCCCCACAAGTATTTTTAGTACTTTTTTTATTCTTTCTTCTTTTTCTTATCCTTTTTTCTTATTTCTTATTATTCTTATTTTTTTTTTTTGGTTATTTCATTCTCTTTCTTTTTGTTTTGGTCACCGGCAGCATAAAATGGTCGTCGTCGGAATTTCACAAACACTATTTTTTCCGGCGAATTTTTTTTTCTAGAGACAGATTTTTATCCCGATCTAAGTGTGTTTTGTTATATATATATATATATAAAATTTTCTTGAAAGTGTAATTTATGGGTGAGAGGAACATCAAAAGAAATAAAAACGAATATAAACAGAGAAAACTTTTTTCAGTTAAAATTTAAATACATTATTTTTTTTCGGCGTGGGAAGGTTTTCTGATGATGAATTTTTTCCCCCAAATCTGAGTGTATTTTGCTTGCTTATGAATAGAACTTTTTGAGAGTTTAATTTGTATGTGAAAAGAAAAAATAGAAGAAAAAAGGTTAGACAAAGTCGTCGGTGAATGAATATTTGTCGGAATTAGAGAAAAAACTAAAAAAAAAGTAAAAGAAAAAAGACAAAGAAAAAGGAAAAGGAAAAGGAAAAAAGTAAGAAAAAATGGTATAAAGAATAAAAAATAATCTGAAAATCATTTTTTTTTTGCTTCTCACTCTCCTTTGGGAGAGTGAAATACACACACTCTGTCATGTCAGCGTCAAGGGTGCAAATAATTTCATTTAAAATAAGTTTAGGGGGTAATAAGATTTTCGCAAAGAAAAAGTATGTAGTTGAGAATCCGGGTATAGGTTAGGAGGTACTTATGCATTTTCCCATTGATATTAACAAGAGCTTTTATTCAAAATATTTAATTTTACCCATTTCTTTCAGTATTCAATTTCAATAAATTATATATGATTGATTATCATTTTTAATTTTTAAATTTTTTTATAAAAAAATATTTTTACTATAGGTAAACTCATAACATAGATTAAGAAAAATATCATGATATTAAAAATGTATAACAAAAAATATCGACCAAGGCTGACAAAATTAAGGATAAAATAGTCATTTTGGGAATACAATTAAGTTTTAAGGAGCAGAATATCTATAGTTTAATGTTGAAGGAAGAGTTTGATTTTCAAGATAAAAGTTGGAGGATCAAAATGATTTTCACCCATAAAGAAAATGAAGAAGCATCAGAGTACAGTAAAAAAGATTGATCTTTTAATTTCTACCCTTTGAAAGCAATATCTACGCTCACTTTCCTATATATAATCGTGGGACGTCGCTCCTTCGTCAGTATTTCCAAGAATAAATTAAAGCAAAAACATATTTTATTTTCTCTCAAGATGTCTGTTGTCAATTCAATAATCTTCTGGGCGTTGCTTATTTTCATATGGGGAGTACGGCGTTGTTTCATTCAAATGCGTTCTAAAAAAGTTTTCTTGATAGAGTTTGCATGTTCAAAGCCCCCAATTTCACAAATGTGCACAAAAATAATGACAGCAGAAAGAGTGAAAATTCTTGGAAATTACTCTGAAGAAATGATGGATTACATGAAGATGACAATGGACAAAGTAGGTTTAGGTGATAACACCTATTTGCCAGAGGCTTTGCATAAAGATCCTCCTAATCCATGCATGGATTTAGCAAGAAAAGAGTCCGAGTTTGTCATGTTTGGATCTTTGGACAATTTATTTGAAAAAACTAAAGTTGTTGAGCCTAAGGATATTGGCATACTAATAGTGAATTGCTCTGTTTTTCATCCTGTGCCGTCTTTATCGTCTATGATAGTTAATCGTTACAAGCTGAACCACAATATTTTGTCATATAATCTTACTGGAATGGGTTGCACTGCTGGACTTTTGGCCATTCGTCTTGCCAACCAACTTCTTCAGGTAACTAAGCACTGCCAAAGTTTTATTATGCTTTTATTTCTCTATTTTATTTTATATTATATGTTTGACTAGTCACAATATTAAAAAGTTAATTTAATTTAAGTATAATAACTATGGTAGCAAAAGTAGCCATTGAAAGGTTAACTAGTTTGATGATAATATTTTATATCGAAATTGTGAAGATAATTTAGTGAATAATAGTAACGTATTATTTGAGGATTGGTGTTAAAATTTTTGAGACATTATAGCAATACATTGCTTCATGAGTATTTTCAAGTAACATAATTTCTTTCAACTCACAAATGAATAATTTTCCAAATGCTATTTTTTTAACTTAAAAATAACTACTATTAGTACTCTTTTTTCTTTTTCTTATTTTTAACCAAATTTGATTCAAACGCCTGCTAGCTAGTGTCAGGTGCTTTGTTTCCGCGATTGTTTACTAAACAAGAACTAAGTGATATTCAACTTTCATTTTACATGGGAAACAGGTGCATGAAAACACATGTGCTTTAATATTGAGTACAGAGAACACTACAGACTGCATCTACGTGGGAAATGATGAGTCCAAATTCATATCAAATTGCACATTTCGTGTTGGTGGAGCTGCAATTCTCCTCTCTAATCGACCATCCGATAAAGAATTTTCCAAGTACGAAATCCTTCACGATGTCCATACTCATGGCGCAAGTTTAGATCGTTCATACAAATCAATTTTCCTAGAAGAAGATGAACAAGGTTTAATTGGTGTTTCCATAACTAAAGATCTTTTGGTCGCAGGAACAAATGCTATAGAAACCAACCTTACCTTATTAGGTCCTTTAATCCTACCCTTGTCGGAAAAATACATTTTCTTTAAAAATCTTATAAGACGATTTCTAGGGGTTGGAAATGTAAAAAAGTACGTACCAAAATTTAATGCAGCGGTTGATCATTTCTTCCCTCATGTTGGAGGATTACCAGTTCTAAACCAATTGCAAAAGATGTTGAAGTTTCGTGATGAGAGTATGGAAGCTTCAAAAATTACGTTGCGACGATTTGGGAATACTTCGAGTAGTTCAGTTTGGTATGAACTTGCATATGCAGAGGCTAAGGGGAGGATCAAGAAAAATGATCGAATTTGGCAAATGGCATTTGGATCGGGTTTCAAATGTAGCAGTTTGATTTGGCGTGCCATGAGATCTGTTGATAGCAATGACTTCAAAAATCCATGGAATGGGGAAATTGATACTGGTGATCTCGACTTGAATGGGATTGAAACATTCAACTTTGACTACTTTGAACCACCACTACTGTTATCTTAATTTTATCATTGTGTAATTGCACTTTTTTATTTTATTTTAAATAAAGCTTTTAAGTTTCATTTGTATTAGACTTGATCAACGATTCATGATCAATATATCCAGGTTAGGTTTTTATTTTTAAATAGCCATAGCTAGTTATTAAGTTTAATATACTCTAGTTCCCTAATATCCGACTTGGTTCTATTGAAAAAAGTGAATAATATCTCTGTTTACCCTAAAATGAGTAACAATTAAATTTGTACATAATTTAAAGGATATATAATTTTAAACTAACACGAATGGTCAAAGAAAAACAAGTAATTGAATTAAAATACAAGCAAACTAAATGCGATGAAATAGTTAAGCCTGACGTTAGGTTTGAACACTAGAAACCGGTTCCAATTGAGCCCTCAGGATGGAGCGCAGTTGCAACTTAATGGATGAACAACTGAAGAACACTTGAACAATTGCTAAACAACAAAAGTAAACTTTATTGTGTTGATATGCGTGCCAACAGTGACCCAGAAAATGAAAAGGTTCTCCCCTTTATATAGTAAAGGACTTTTAACCCTAATACAAGTCTAAATAAGATAAAAATTCTTTCCTTCCCTTTTTCCCAAGAAAACACGATCCGTGATCACGTCCAAATGCACACCTCACAAGAGGTATAACACGGTCGTATGCAATAATAAAACCCAACAAAGAGTCGGGGTCGAATCTGTAGGGACCTAAGATGGGAGCTAGGAGTATATATTCAGAATAAGCAAGTGAAGTGTATTTGCCTAATGGGATAAAGATTTTTATGCTCGTTTTATTGATT